TTGTGCTTGAGTGTGAGGGTCCTGATGTGCTCCTTGAGGTTGCTTGGGAAGGTTGTGTTCTGATTGTGCTTGAGTGTGAGGGTCCTGATGTGCTCCTTGAGGTTGCTTGGGAAGGTTGTGTTCTGATTGTGCTTGAGTGTAAGGGTCCTGGTGTGATGTTTGATTCATGTACTTGTAACTCAGTCAATGCCGATGGCTCTCGTGTCGCGTATGGGGAAATGGTCAGGTCAGTATCGTCATCTGAATTAACCCTTTCCATTATCTCGTAACTTGGCAGTTTTAGCTGTACATACAGTCTACCCTGGCCACAAAAATTTTTCACATGAGGGAAATCCCACTGATAGCCGGTTTTAACTGCTGGTCGAATGATAGTGCTTCTTTCCCTTTTTATGAAATCAAAGTCTGACTCTCCAATGAAGGGGAATTTAGTCTTGAAAACACCAACAAGTTCATTTCTAATCTGGTCTTCAGTGTGGCCAGGGATGAGATCGAACTCTCCCCTCAAAACAACCTTGCTCTCACGGAAAGTAACTTCAGTCTGGTTGCTGTCACAATCTTGCTCGTCTTCAATCAAATAAACACTTTTTGAAATTGCAGTAGGCTTACTTGCTGTTCCCTTTTTTCTTGGACGAACTAAGCGCTTCCCTTTTAGATGTACGCCGGCTAGCTGAGTTCTCAGCCCGAAGCGTTGAGTTACCTTCCATCTCCCTTGCGGTAGAATATGTTGCTGTTCGAATCAGTGATCTTGTTCGATTAAGTAGACTCTGTACTCCGCTTCGTCCATCTTGAAAATTACGCATTTCGTCACGAACGCATCTTCTTATGGTTTCTTCGATATCCTCGTTCGACCCGCTCGCCATAATGTTTTGCAGTACATTTGCCACCAAAAGACGGCGCCTATTGACGTAATGCGCAACTGTTGCTGCGCAGAAGTTGCTGAATGAATATGAAAACTGTTGAATGAAATTGACACCGTTGAATGAAAATAACAATGTTGAATGGAGTGTTCCTGAATGTGAATGAATTTTAATTATTTAGCGATCTTGAATGTGGACGATTTTTGTTCGTGAATGAAAACATAAATCGTGAATGTGGTTCAATATGTTGGTGAATGTGAATGTATACAACGTTCCTGAATTTTGCACCATTTCGCCAACCATATCCGTCAGGATTGAGAGGAGCGTTTCCACCTTTCGCGAGTGCTTGGATGTAAGGCTATCGGCGAAAAACACTTTCTTCGACGATAAGGTTTCTTTATTTGAATTTCCAGCAAATCGTAGGAGTGTCGAACACAGAAGAATTATGGCCAATTAAAACGGTGTGACAATGCGTACTGCTGGAAAGGAAAGTGTTAAAAGATTGAAGACATTCGCTCAGGAGTGTACTGGAACATTCTCTTTGAGCAAAGTTCTCTCACCATTCACAGTTTTGACAGTGACTTGTTTACACGAGAAGTGTAGCTGCTCATATTACATGTAGGTAGTACCTATTTAGTGTTCCGGAAACCAGCCACGATATGGGAAAATAGCTCCGACGATTGCGATCGTGTTTACGGCCGGATTTTGGTCACTTGAGAGTGTTAGAGCTTTCCGTTTTTGAACAACACACTACTAATAAAGTTAGAAGAAAGTGTAGGCAGCCTACCTAGAGGCATAAAACATAGTCTACTCGGCAGATGAAAAAATGATTCTGGCCAAAGCGCGGCGGCCATGTTTGTTTGTTTGTGTTTTTTTTGTTTTTTTTTTTGCAACTTTTAAATTAGAACCCAGTCTGCGTGCGCCAAAGAAACTATATCTAGCCTCTTTAAAAGTTCTTTAGTTGATCGATAGGTGATTTGTTTCAAGGTCGTTGTCATTTACCGTGAGTCTACAGTTTTCCGTGTTGGTAATAAAGTGACTGTTTGGATTTTCCATTTCGCTTCCGAACACTTTTGTTTAATAGTCTTTTAGCATATTTATTGCTGTACCTTTTTTCTTTCATATTCATCAATTATCATTCTATTTAGACTTATTTTAGTTTGTTTATTTTCCTTGAGTTCTAGTGTTAGTCGCTCCCGTTTTTCTTATTCATTTTCTTCGATTCTCGTGCATGCGTGTTAAATACTTGCCTGCAATTTGCAACTGAACGAAAAAAGGGAGAAGCTGGAACTTCAACCCGGGCGTTTCTTTTGGAAAGCCTGAGTAATAATCTTGATGAGTAATTTAAATGTTCACGTAGGAAATCTCGCCAGGTGCCGCTGAAAATTCTAGCTACAGCAAGACCTGAAAGATCACGTGGGTGGATGTCAGTACTTTTTTCGTTCCCAGCCTACCCTCTAAGTTCAGCCAGATGCTTGTTGACTTCTGAATGTTTCCAGAAAGATTAGCTTCTTCCACAAAGGAAACGAAGGAAGCTCTCTTTCTCCATTAAGAGACCAAGTTTCAAAACGAAATGAATTATAAAGTACTTTTCGGTTACTTTCTCTTGCTATGGTCATATTCCTCAAGTCAAACAAAACCAAAACTATCACGAGGGTACTCGAGAGGGAAAGACACATTTTTGTTCTGGACAATCTCTTCCCGTCAGAAGTTGTTCGTGGGTACTATGGCCTTGTCACCTCAGGAAAATTAGCAGGGAAGATCTCTTCGTGGTTTTACAAATACAACGATTTTAACTATGATTATTATCAAAACATTGAGACTTTTTAAAATGCATCAAGTAATTCGCCGTGGGTAACTCCAGTCAATCCCGAGTTTTTTTCTCATACAAAGTTGTGGAACATAAGCCGCAAAGTCGTTGAAAAGTTGCCTGGAGGGAGACAATATTTTTCGCACTGTCTCTTTCTCGATGCATGGCAGACTGGATTTTATAACTGCTACTAGCAAGGGTAAGGAAAATATCTATAGAATTTAACTCATCATGAACTAAGCTTTTTTTTTTCAAGTCTGATATTTATGTTCTTTATTTTGAAATAATTCACAATAATGCAAACAGAGGGTATCTTATGATACCTTTGACTGTGTAAACAATGTAGTTAATCGCTAAGAAAAGGACAGTTTTACGTGTAAATTTACATTAATAATTTCCTTTGTTTGGGCGGCCCTCAATACAGTTGCCCTCAAGCTATGCAACTATACAGTTAATTATTTTTAAAAGCTTAATCTTCGATTGTAATGCCCAACAGTTATGAGTGAATACTTCAGGATTGTAAAAGTTTCCATGTTGCTGTGTAGATACTGTGATATTTCAACTCACCACTTCTGATTTGCAATTCTCTGATTCTGTGATATGATTCATTTATTGCCGTGCTTTTGTAGCTCTAGCATTTTTAGTTGATGATATCTCTTGTATCGATGGAAGTGCTATTGCGTTTTTTCATCTAAAGAGCATTAAATTCCCTGAGGTGGAGTATTTTTGAATAACGAAAATGAGACTTTGCCATGGAATAACTTTGTTTCAGCTGATTATAGTCTCCTACAAGACTGAACAGAGGCTAATCTAACTTAATTAGCCTCCTTCGTTCCCAAATGACACCAGGTTTACTTTTGTACCGCTCGATCGAGGATATAAACATTCTTTTACTTCTATTCTTTTAAATACAACTCGCCCGAAGCTCCACATTCAAATCTATCCTTCCTTTGAATACATCCCGGTAGCTATTATGTACAGAATTAAACCTATGATAAGTCAGTCTACTCAAAATGCATGGTCAGAGTGACCTCACAGTAGACAGTTCGACACCACTTTACGTGCAGTGGTCTTGCATCGCATCTTGTTCAAGTCACAATGCTTCTAAGTTTCCTCATTAGGGAAATAACAAAACTGTCTTATTGTGTGCTTCACAGCTCGTTTTATTTCTCTCATCCTCCAACAATAGAGGAGTGGGTTTAGAGTCGAGTTGAAGAACAGAAGAGATCCGGTTAGACTCCAGGCGAAGTAAAGTAGTGGCGTTTTTATTTCACTCATAGAAATAAAGCCACCAAGTAAACTGTCCGGAAGATAACAAGTCAGTAATGTCATTTGTACCCACAGTGCTGTGGACACTGTTTTTCTGTATCTCGCTTTGTTCAGTTGATTTCCTCCTTCATTCTTTTGTGCTTGGTCACCTTGGCCTTGCACTTGGGCTTGAGAAAGGCGAAGTGTGCGATAAATAGTAGTGTAGCAGAAAGTAGAGATCAATATGCATAACAAAATCATCGCATATATAATACCCATAGTTATACGAATGTCCACAGTAGTGTACTGAAAACTAATAATATATGAACTATATAATCTATAAAATGATACAGGGGCTAAGGGAATGTAAAGGACCCAAAAAGTAGCAACAAGGGCCATCACTCGCCTCACAGTTACAACCTGTCTGTATGTTAGCCCCAGCAACAGAGCAAGAAGTCTGTCTACACTTATTGCAGTCATTGTTGACAAAGATACTCCACAGAGTATCCAACTAATACTAATAAAAAGTACTCTAGAGTAGTAACAACCCTTTGAATGCTCCGGAGACATGAAGTAAACGATGTAGAGAGGTTGTACAAGGAGACCAACGCCCAAATCTGTACAAGCAAGACAACCGAGCAATAGTTTCGATGGCGGATGAACACGCGACACCTTGCGGAGAGCAACGATGATCAGAAAATTTCCTATAATTGCGGCTATGGATAGGGGAAGATTAATGGCTGAAATAAATATCCTCTGAGCTGCTCCGAGACCTGAGGTGCAAAATATCTCTGGGCCTGATGTCACATTATTTCCATCCTCATTCAAATTAGCCATAATTTCATCCAGCCTTTTTCTTTATTCGCAATCCAATCTGTAGTAAGACTGTTGGGGTTGATGCAGTAGCCACTTTAAAATATATCCGTCTCTTCTGAGATGAAAAAGGTTATCTCTTAATCCATTAGATCATGTTATGAATTATAACCCACCCATTAATTTTGGCGCGATTTTATTGGTTACTTTACGTCACGTGGTGCAAAATCACAGGACAGTTATCACGCAACAACTCCGTCCACATCGATATTTGTCCTCCGATTTTTTCCATGAAAAAGAAACACAGTCAACACAAGAGTTTCAACTTTTCCGTTCTCCTATTTACATGGAAGGAAACCAAACTGGTTTTTTTTTTTTTGCCTGCTTGCGTCAATCACGCGCATTCGCCATCAGATCACCACTGGCTTTTTTACTGTGTTTACGCGCAGTTTAATTGCGACGTGAAATTTAATGGGAGGGTTATAAAATAAAAAAAACCCCGTTCTGGCTTGCTGGTATGTCGGCTGATAATGTCCTTGGGTGAGAGATTGTCCTCAAATTTCATGTTTGCGCTCGAAGCTTCGCTTCTCGGCCAAATATTCATTTTTGGACAATCTCTCAGCCGCGGACATTATCAGCCGACATACCAGCCGCCCGAAGGGGTTTATTTACTAATTAACGACTGGATATGATGGTAAATATTCCAAAATATTGATAATCTGCTTTTTATAGTACAACAGCTTATAGTGAGGCCTTAAATCACTGTAAAAGTCATTTATTTAAGAAATTTTTAAGAACGAATTAAAAACAAGCCTTTCAGCTTTTGCTAATCTACATATTACTAAGGACGATGATGATATGAGTCGGAGAGAGGTCGGAGACCTCACTAGAAACTGTTTTACCACTGATTTCAAAATGCTACTAACGAACAACATGAAACGATTGCATTGGGTTGTTGGGAGGAGATGTGATTTGCGATGGATGAATTACCCAATAATGTGCATGAAAGCGGCAAGATCTATGGAGCAAAACTCAGCCGAACTTGTGAAAATGGCGCAGAAGAGTAATAAGTCTCTTTTCCGCCCGCTGCGAATCTAAGGATTAATTTTATACTTTCACTTAATTCCGCCAAATAGTAGCGTATTGTGTAACGGAGTTCGTAAAAGTGCCTCAGTATTTATCGGGGAAGTTTGTCAAAATGAAACACAAACCGTGTTCAACTTTAAAACACAAAACGACTGTATGTCGCTAAATAACTAAATATAAAACTCTAACATAGGCTTTTTTTTTTTTTCCATCCCCAAATTGTGCCATGATACTTAGGGTAGAAAACTGAAGGTTTCATTCACAAATGTGACACGTTAGTAGGTCACAAAAAGGCAAACAACACATAAACCACGTTTCAGAATCCATAATGAAATCGAAATGAAACTGACTTACCTCAGATAAATAAAGGCTGATAGTTTCGAAAGAAACTGTTTGGGGCTGCGTCGGTGGGAGTAACGAAATAATTTGGATATATCAACAAAAGTTGAAATGGTAAATTGGCCACCGTAATGATTACAAAAGCTGACGTTTCGAGCGTTAGCCCTTCGTCGGAGCGAATAGAGGAATTGTGGGTTGTGTGTGCTTTTAAAGGCAGAAAATGGAGCTACGTTATTGGTGGGTGCATGGCAACGAGAAAAACATGAATAAATTAGTGGAATGAAAAGCGTTCATTGATCCCTGTGGGATTGAGACTGCCGGTTTGAAAGATGAGCTTTTGTTCAAGATTTTTACGGCTTTCCGTGCCACCTAAGTGCAAGGAAAGACCGCAGATTGCCATATGTTGCTTAGAATGATTAGGTAAATTAAAATGTCTAGCGACTGGTTTAGATGTGTCCTTGTCATTCCTTTCCACGTCTCGTAGGTGTACTCGGAATCGGTCACCTAGTCTTCTGCCCGTTTCGCCGATGTATATCTTTTTGCAATAATTACCTCAGATAGTTGAAACTGAACCCCACTGGAGTTATGGAACAGTGATTCGGCCTTGAATTACGTCAAGTCTGTCAATCGAAAAAGGAAGAAAATTATATTATAGGAATGAAAACACAAATTATATTTTGAGAACCACCTTTGTCTTGTCCTCGTCGAGAAATAACCAGAGAAATAATCAGTCGGTGGAGTCTCTTTTTTCGAACGTGAAGGCTTGTTCGCAATAGTACTCCGGTCTTACGTATGTCAGAGCAGGTGCTTTAATGCTTATCACGTTCCTTTCCAAGTAAAAAAAAAACAGCATACTGAGCTTTACAAACACAAAGCAAATTGATGCTCTCTTGATAACTAAATATAGCACTTCAGGTTGAGTTTTTTCGTATTCCCAAATTGCGTCTCTGTAACCAAATTTCCCCTAGAGAAAGAAAAAAATATTTATTTCCCGTGTATATAAGAAGATGACTTCCTGTGTTCGTTAATATTCCATGCTCTTAGCCATGTTTTAGCTTTTATTAAAGTTTGCCATCAGTAGGAGATATTATGTTTTGATAATTATTTTGTTTAATCCTTGAAAAATATGACATGTTGGTCTTCCCGGTAAAAAAAAAAAAAAAAACCTAAACGAAGTTTCTAATCTAGAGCCGAAAATATGAGTAAATTTCAACAAACAACTTGGAACTATTAAATAAAGACAATTTAAGCAATGTGATGTGGCTTAGTAAGGAGCTTACGTAATTGGATCAACGAATCCATGAAAAAAATGTCGATTAAAAGATAAATAAATATTTTTGTCAAGAATGTCGCAAGTGTCTGGATGAGTTAAAGACTGTAATGACACCCGACCTAATTTCAGCATAACATTTGTGAGCTGGGTTGGGCTTTGCAGAGAACGGCCGGGAAATACATGAAAATGAATGCTGCACTGGCGGAGCCATTATTCTGCTCAGAGGATTATTTGTTTCGTTGTGTGCTCTTTGCCTTTGCCTTTGTGGTCCGTACTATCAGTGAGCGTCACACGTTAGAAAGAGCTACCGGATGTAAATGATGTGCACATTAGGACAGGTGCAAAACTTTCAGTTAGTTTCCTTTTCTACGTGTATGTTTTTATACATGCATAAAAACTTTTTTTATAAAAAGAACTGAAGACAACTTTAAGCCTATTCTATTCTCTTATTTTAAGATAGTATGCCAAATTTGTCAAATATTCGCGTGTTGTTGTGTTATTAAAACTGTTTCCTCTCCCTCGTTTTTGGTAGAGAGTTAGATTGTTAATCCTTTTATGATAAAAATGCGGTGAAAAAACTTTGATCTATCTCAAAAATCTTTTCTTTTGAATATCGAAACTGCCTTTCGCCATACATTTCTTTCTGGCCGGCTGCAATGTTTACCCCATGGCGATCCGGTTACTTGCACTCTCATTCAATAGTAACTTTGGTCATTAACAGTTTAAACAGATTGGAATAATTTGAAAGTACAGCGAGTGCAAGGCGCAAAACAGCTCTAAAAATCAACCGAGTAGGAAAATAAGCCAAAGTTAACGTTTCTTTAACATTAATCACAATCACAAATTTCTACTGATTTTTAATTGACCATTAGTTCTCTAGAAAATAAATTTATGCGAGCAGTAGTTTCTTAGACGGTATTCCATACGTACTCGTGTTAAACTGCAAAAGACTCGAAATGCTCTTGGTATATAACTTCATCGTGGCCATTTTCTTCATAAACACAAAGCAAATTTTTGCTCTCCTAAAAACCCACTGCTGGATGCTTTTCCCTTTCCCAAATTACGCCGCGCCGCTTGAAGTACAGAAAACTGAGTTGCTTTCACAGACTTATCACATGTGTAGATCACAAATACGCCATACCTCAAAAAATTAGGAAATTCCAGTAAATTCGGGAAGAAACTGACTTAGCTGCCTCAGTACTTTGAAAAATGACTCGTATTGGAAACAAGAAACGGTGCTTCGGCCTTGAACTTCGTCAACTCTGTCGGTTGCAAAGGAGAGAGAAAATAATGTTGTAAGTTTATATTGTTTCTTTTTTGATCGGGTTTAATGGAACAAATACCTTATTAACTTCAGGCATTAGCTAGCTTATAATTAATTTAATCGGTATTTCCTATCTCCTTTCACATGAAACTCGGCGAGATTCTTCAGAGGGAATGTTTTGTTGCATGAAGGGAAAAACTTATAAAAAAACAAAATATCCTTGGAAAAAGAAAAAACATTATTTCCCGTGTACATAAATAGATTCATAGCTTCCTGTGTGTGTTAATATCCGTGTTCTCAGACATTTTTCAGACATGTTGTTTAAGCTTTGATCAGTATTTTGTTCAATCCTATAACAAATATAGCAGATTGGTCTTCGCAGGTCACAAAAACCTGAGCGAATTTTATATTATAGAGCCGGAAATGTTAGTAAAGTGAAACAAACGACTTGAAATTGATGATGATAAATCGAGACAATATATACAGTGTTCGGTGGCTTAGTAAGAACCTGACGCACTCAGGTCAACTGACAAATCCAAGAAAAACGTTAATAAATCTTTTTAGAAAGAATTTCGCGAATGTCTGGATAAGTCTAACGTCTCCAACGACACCAGACCACGGCCGGGAAATGTATGAGAATATAAGCCTCAATGGCAGAGTCATAATTCTGTTCAGTGGATCCTTTGTTTTGCCGCGTTATCTTTGCCGTCGTCATCGTGACGTGGTTTGCTTAGGGTCCGCACTATCGGTGAGTGCCACACGTCAGAAAGAGTTAAAGGATGCAAGCGGAGCGCGTATCACGACAGGTGCAAAACTTTCAGTCATTTTCTTCTTCAACTTAAAGGTTTTTTTAATGTAATATTCAAAAGAGAGGAACTGAAAACAACTTCTTCCCTGATTATTTAAGGATCATACAACAAATAAAATTGCAAATATTCGCGTGTAGTTGTATCATTAAGGCTGTGTTTTCTCCCTCATTTTCGGTAGAGAGTTTTTCCGGTTTTTTGTTCCTCCTTACTTGTTCCGTATCACTTACCTGTTTACCTTTTGTGTTTTTGTTTTCCTCTTCCTTCCTAAGTGCTTTAACTCTTACTTCGGCGTATCTAGAACTCAATTAAACAGTCTGTGTCTCGCTTTACATTTCTAGATTTATCTTATATTTACTTTACCGGCTTCCTTTCCTTTTGCAATTCCGTTCACTCCTTCTTCCTCTTCCTCTTCGCTATTCTTCATTGTATTATCTTTGTTTCCCGTTTTTCTCCTCCTCATTCCAACTTTTATAATTTTTTCCTGTGTCAAACGTAAAACTATTTTGAGAGGAATCAATTTGAATTAATCTAAAACCGCATCCATTTGTGTGATATATTGTAACAAAAGATGATATCGAGATCGTTGACCGCGTTGTGATGGAAGGTATAAATAAGGATGACTTCCCAGCGTAGAAACTGTTTTATTCTTTACCTCACGGCTCGTCTCGTTTCTCTTGTCTTCCAAGAATACAGGAATGGGTTTGGAGTCGAGTTTGACAACAACGGAGATAATTTCAGAGCCCAAGCGAAGTTAAGGAAAGGTGTGTCCTCTCCACTGATAGAAATAAAAGCAACTAAACCATATGGAAGATAACAAGCGAGTAACACCATTTGTACCCACGGTGCTGTGGAAACTGTCTTTATGTATATCGCTTTGTTCAGTTGATTTCTTTTACCATTCGTAGTTATCTTAATCTTGCACCAAATTCCCTACTAATTTATAAGGAAATGTGCAGCAGCTAGATGGGAGAATTAACAATTAGATATTGGAAGTTTTAAGATTCTTAATGATTATGAGCAGGATAACTCAGGCTGAAAATTCAACGCCCATCCCGATAACTCGATAGTTCGCGCTTCCTTTCTTGCTCGCACCATTTTTTCGTTTCTCTTGGGAGTTCCAGTGAGCGGGGTTCAAGAAGCTTTGGCTGCTTTTGCGTCGCACTTTTTCCTGTTGAAGAAATCGATTTCTGTTTTATAGTCTTTCAGCATATTTATTGCTTTTCTGAGTTGGTTTTAAAATAGCGGCGTCAACACCATGAGCACACTTCAGAAAAATGTTTGAATAGGCAGGTGACTCTTTCGAATCTTAATTATTACAGAAAGAGAGTGTGCTGTTTGTGGAGTGTACCTCTCTACTTTCATTTTCCTGTTTCCTCCTCCTTGTTCATTTTCGTTAGCAATTTCCTGTTCCTAGTAGTTTTGATATTTAACTTTCTTCTTCTTTTAACAAAATGCGAGTGTAACTTTTGAAATTTTCTCAAATATAGATTCTTTTGTGCAATCGAATAACCCCATAAACGAATTGGCTGGTATTTTCAATTAATAGTATAAGTGTGTAGCTGTACACTTTTATAAGACTGGTGCCTACAAGGTCAGCACATTAGAATCTAATGCACTATTTCGAAAGTCCTTTAAATACGTACCTATCTTTAACTGCAAATGCTTCCTTTTTTAATCACCTTACGTACCAAGGTGTGTTAGAACCTCAAATATTCTTGGAAAAATTTTGTTTAATTTCACATTCTTAGCCTTTTTTGTTTTGAGAAAACTCCAAAACAAAGGAGAATTTACAACTCCACTAGCACTTGGAGCAATTCAAAGCAGTGAAACGAAGATCCAAATTAAGATCCCAACTGTTTCCTATCCCTGATAAAATACTGGGCAGGATGATTCACTTCCTTTTACAGCTGTCAAGCAAAATGTTGTGAATATCCATTACCTTTACCTCATCATTAATCTTTAATCTCCGGTTCAAAAACAGGTGAAAAATAAGCAGTGGGTAACTTCTGTATCTGTTAAACACGCAGGTTGAGTAGGCGACGAAGAAAACAAAACAAAACTCATCAAAAATCCTCGTTTGCTATCAGTTGAATGGGAGTTGTCAAGACTGATCTTTTTCAATTATCAATTCGGTATGAAATTAGAGACCAGCAGAACAAATTGTTGACTAGTTATCTCTTGCCAGGGAACCAAATATGGAGCCTGTCTTATAAGAGATGTTTGATATTCATAATTGAATCGCCATTTTCTTCCAAATTTGTGATGCTCCCTTAGGGGAGGGGGTGGGGTCAGATATGGCCATTTGTTGATTTGAATGGAAAAAGTTCAGACACTTATAGGTGCCTTTTTAAAACGGTGCAAGGTTAATTTCGACAGATTTTGAGGAATTATTTAAGTAGGCGTGTCTTTCTCCGCTGTTTGAGAAAGATCTTGTGGACCTTTTTGTTGCAAATTTAGATATACTTTCGGGTTATAGCCCACATCCTGAGCTCTTGATCGTTATTTCAAAAAAGCAATTATTAGTAGTCGTTAATCTTCTTGCACGATATAATGCCTACTGTATGAAATGAAGACAAGATGTAGTCACTACTCTTTATCAAGGTGCTTCCCAGTGCTGTTACTTGGTAATTGGATATTCTGAAAGTCCTTCCGAAAACTTATAAAGGAGACACCGGCATAAAAGGTGTTTTAAAACAGCATTGTACGTCAGGTGATTTTATAGTTGTTCACGACTTTGATTACCAGGTTGAAATAAAACCAAGTTAAACAGCTGTGATATGGCTCATTTGTTGCTGTACTTTTGTAGCTCTAGCATTTTTAGTTGATGATATCTCTTATAGAGTTCAAAGTGCCATTGCGTTTTTTCATCTAGAGGAGATTAAATTCCCTGAGGTGGAGTATTTTTGAATAACGAAAATGAGATTTTGCCATGGAGTAACTTCGTCTCAGCTGATTATAATCACCTACAAGAAGTTCTTTTCAGACTAATGAGCAACCAGGCACTTTTAAATGCGCTCGTGCACGATGCAAAACGTGTCCTTTCATTCACAACACTGATAAAATATCGGGACCTAAACGATCCATTAAGATCACCGATCACTTCACGTGCACCTCCGCTAATGTAATCTATTGCATAACTTGCACTTATTGCAAAAAGATATACATCGGCGAAACGGGCAGAAGACTAGGTGACCGATTCCGAGAACACCTTCGAGACGTGGAAAGGAATGACAAGGACACATCTAAACCAGTCGCTAGACATTTTAATTTACCTAATCATTCTAAGCAACATATGGCAATCTGCGGTCTTTCCTTGCACTTAGGTGGCACGGAAAGCCGTAAAAATCTTGAACAAAAGCTCATCTTTCAAACCGGCAGTCTAAATCCCACAGGGATCAATGAACGCTTTTCATTCCACTAATTTATTTATGTTTTTCTCGTTGCCATGCACCCACCAATAAAGTAGCTCCATTTTCTGCCTTTAAAAGCACACACAACCCACAATTCCTCTATTCGCTCCGACGAAGGGCTAACGCTCGAAACGTCAGCTTTTGTAATCATTACGGTGGCCAATTTACCATTTCAACTTTGTTGATATATCCAAATTATTAAATTAGCATAGTTCAGGCTTTATTACCAACTGACGCCGGGTTTACTTTTGTACCGCTCGACCAATGAGATAAACATTTTTTTACTTCTATTCGATTAAATACAACTCTTCGAGGCTCTGCAATCAAATCTATCCTTTGTTTGAATACATCCCGGTAGCTATTACGTACAGAACTAAAGGCATGATAAGTCAGTCTACTTAAAGTGGTCCGAGTGACCTCACAGTGAACAGTTGGACGCCACATTACGTGCATTGGACAGGCATCACATCTTGTTGATGTCACGATGCTTCTAAGTTTCCTCATTAAGAAAACAAAACTGTCTTATTTTGTGCTTCACAGCTCGTCCTATCTCTCTCATCCTCCAACAATACAGGAATGGGTTAAGAGTCGAGTTAGACAACAACAGAAGCAACGATAAATGCCAAGCGAAGTTAAGGACTGTGTCAGTGACTTCACTGATAGAATGAAAAACACCAATAAAACTAAAAGGGAGATAGCAAGCCAGTAATACCATTTGTATCCACAGCGCTGTGGACACTGTCTTTTGGTATCTCACTTTATTCAGTTGATTTACTTCCCCATTCGGTTGTTCTTGCACTTTCGCTCGAGAAAGGCGAAGTATGCGATAAATTTTGGTGTAGCATAAAGTAGAGATCATTATGCATAACAACGCCATTGCACACTCAATGCCCACAAAACTACGAAAATTGAGACCCAAAGAGACCCAAAGAGTAACAACAAGAGCCTTTACTCGCCTCACAGTTACAACCTGTCTGTATCTTAGCCCTAGCAACAGTGCAAGAAGTCTGTCCACACTCATTGCAGTCATTGTTAACAAAGAAACCGCACAGAATATCGTTCCAATAGTAAGAAAAAGTAATTGAGAGAAGTAGCAACCCTTTGAGTGCTCTGGGAGCATTAAGTAAACACTGTAAAGAGGATTTGAAATGAGGCCCACGCCCAGATCTGTGCACGCAAGACAACCAAATATTCCACAATTCCACCAAATATTAGCGCATTGCGAAACAAAGTTCGTAAAAGTGCTTCAGTATTTATCGGGGAAGTTTGTCAAATGAAACAGAAACCGTGCAGTGTTCAACTTTAAAACACAAAACGACTGTATGTCCGTCATTAAATAACTAAATATAAAACTTTAACATAGGTTTTTCCTCCATCCCCAAATCATTCCCTGATACTTAGGGTAGAAAACTGAAGGTTTCATTCACAGATGTAACACGTTACTAGGTCACAAAAAGGCAAAAAAGGCACATAAACTACGTTTCGGAATCCATAATGAAATCGAAATGAAACTGACTCACCTCAGTTAGTTGAAACTGACTCACACTGGAAATATGAAACAGTGATTCGGCCTTGAATTCCTTCAAGTCTGTCAGCCGAAAAAGGAAGAAAATTTATTATAGGAATGAAAACACAAATTATTTTTCGAGAACCATCCAAATTTGCCAAATATTCGCGTGTTGTTGTAATTAAAGCTGTTTCCTCTCCCTGACTTTCGGTTAGGAGTTTGCTCGATGAGCAAGTTGATAACAAATAAATATTATAACAATGATAGCAACAAGGTTATAGTTTCCTTTTGCCATATAAGAGACTATTCAAATTTAAACACCTGAGAGATTGAGTTATTTTCCAAATTCTCCGCCGGTTTTGTCCTCGGATATGGAGCTGTAACATCACTTACTCACATGTTTCGACGACTGCTCAGACGGCTATAAACATCTGCGGAGGTCTTAAGTAAGTTCTGTTGATGGTGTTGTAAGAGATCCAAGCGGTTATTAGAGCGGAAGTTATTGCTGTTTTAATCACTTCAATGGAGCTTTGCCAACGACATTAATTCATCAGTGTTTACAGAACGTGCGATTTGTCAATTTAGTCAATAGCTGTTTAAAAAGACTGGAATAACTTGAAAGTGCAGCCAGTGCATGGCGCAAAATAGGTCTAAAAAAATTCTAAAATGAGCAATAGTTAACTCTTCTTTAACATTTATCACAATCACAAATTTATATTAATTTTTGATGGACTATTAGTTCTTTAGAAAATTAATTCAATGCGAGCAGATCGCAGTTTGTCATACGGTATTCCAAACGTGCTCCTGGTTAAACTCGAAATACTCTTCAATGAATTAATGAAATAAAGAATGCTCGTCGCTCCCAGTGGAGTACCTCTCTCTGTCTCCGCCCTGATTATTACATTTCCTTTTTCAGGGGAAATAAACAGTATATTGATCTTCGTAAACACAAAGCAAATTGTTGCTCCCCTAAAAACCCAACTGGATGTTTTTCCCTCTCCCAAACTGCAGCTCGACACTTGAAGTACAGGAAAGTGAGAGTTCTTTCACGGACATATCACATGTGTAGGTCACAAATACGCCGTACCCCAAAAAATTGGGGATTTCAAGTAAAATCGAGAAGAAACTGACTTACCTGACTTAGTGCTTTGAAAACTGACTCGTACTCGAAACAGGAAACGGTGCTTCAGCCTTGAATTTCGTCAACTCTTTCGGTTGCAAAGGAGAGGAAAAAATAATGTTATAAGTATAAATATCAAGGGAAACGAGGTGACAGGCATGCATTTACATAGTTGGAAATAATTAGCGATATTTTTAATTAGCAATGTTTGTGTTTTGATCGAGTTTAATGGAACTAATACCTTTTTAACTCCAGGCATTAGCTAGCTTGTAATTAATTTAATCGGCATTTCCTATCTCTTTTCACATGAAACTCGGCGAGATTCTACATGAAGGGAAAAAATAAAAAGCAACAAAATTTCCCAAGAAAAAGAAAAAAATATTACTTCCCGTGTATATGAATGACTTCCTGTGTCTGTCAATATCAGTCTCTGTTCTTAGACATGTTTCCGACATGTTGTTTAGCTTTATTTGATCAATATTTTGTTTAATCCTTTAAAAATACAGCCTACTGGTTTTCGGGGGTGGAAAAAACCTGAGCGCATTTTATAACATAGAGCCGGAAATGTTAGTAAAGTGAACAACGACGACTTAGAACTGATGATGAATCGGGGCTTAGTAATAGTCATACGCACTCAGGACAACTGACAAATCCAAGAAAAACGTCGATCAAACAATCGATAAACCTTTTTGGCAAGAATTTCGCGAAAGTCTGCATGGGTCCAACGTCTCTAACGACGCCAGACCACAGCTGGGAAGTGTAAGAAAATTTAAGCCTCGATGGTAGAGTCATAATTCTGCTCAGTAGATCCTTTTGTTATAAGGAAATCTATCTGAATAAAAAATAAACTTCTATCATTAGGAAATGAAGATCAACACAAATACTACCGAAATAAAATTCTGACACTTACGCGTCTGAGTAAAAAACTACTTATCAAAAATTTTTTCAAGTAAACATTAAAGATATGAAAAAAAACTCGGGAAGGCATTAACAATCTTCTTAATAATAAAAAGAAAAATAGGAAAGCAATAAATATATTAAAGAGCTCGGAAAATCGAGGACTATCTCATAACCCTTATGAACATACTAATATACTAAACTCCCATTTTGCATCTATTGGGAAAAAACTTTCTTCAAAAATACCACCCGGTAATAAACATTTTTCAGATTTTCTGCCGACGATAGCCTATAGTGATTCTTTTTTATTTGAACCAGTCCTTTTTTCTGAAGCTGAGCTTGAAATAATGTTGGCACCTTCAGGTAAAGCACATGGATTGTACTCTTGCCCAAGTAGTATACTGAAGTGCTCGCGTGACATAATTGCCAAACCCCTAACGACACTAATAAATGTCTCTGTTCAGAATGGTCGCTTCCCAGCGAGACTAAAACATGCCAAAATTGTTCCCGTGTTCGAAGATGGAGATGAAACTGATCCTTGTAACTATCGTCCTATATCGCTCCTCTCAATATTTAACAGAATTTTTGAAAAGATTATGAGCAATCGATTCAGTGAAAGTATTTTTGAACAAGCATGACATATTTTACAAGTCACAATACGGTTTTCGTAAGCGATGCTCCACTGAGCATGCGATCCTCGATATAGTCAGCAAACTCCAGGCTAACATGGACCTGGGTATGTACTCATGTGGAATATTTATTGATCTGCAAAATCATTCGACACGGTTGACCACTCGATCCTGTTACATAAACTCCGCAATCACTATTTAATGACTGGTTTTCAACGTACTTGTCTGGAAGGGTCCAAACCACACAAATAGGATCCTACATATCCCAAAAAGAAAAAACCCTGCTGTTTCTTATTTATATATCAATGACATTTACAATGCTTCAGATAAATTAGCATTTTATTTGTTCGCTGACGATACAAATCTGCTATTTGCCGACAGAAACCTTCAATCTCTTGAAACAGTGGTGAATGTAGAACTAATGAATGTTTATGATTGGCTAGCCTCAAATAAACTCTCTTTAAATGTGAAGA